TACTAAAATTAGAGACTCAGATGAAGCAAGGGGGAGGCAGCAATATACAGAGAGGAGAGGAACAGCAGAGTGAAAGGCCTGAGGATTGGGCAGGCACAGTGGCTTGTGCCTGTAATCCCAGCACTTTGGGAGGCTGAGGCAGGCAGATCACGAGGTCAGGAGTTCAAGACCAGCCTGACCAACATGGTGAAACCCCATCCTACTAAAAATGCATAGAAAATTAGCGGGGTGTGTGGCATGTGCCTGTAACTGGCTTCTCCCAGGAGAGCTGAGGCAGGAGAATTGCTTGAACAGAGGCTGGAGGTTGCAGTGAGCAGAGATGGCGCCACTGCACTCCCCAGCCTGGGCCGACAGTGAGACTCACGTCTCAAAAAAGGCGTGAGGTTGGAATGAGCTTTTACAGTATGTTGGAAGAACAATGAGAAGCTAGCATGGCTGGAGTAAAGTGAGTGAGGTGATAGTGGGAGGAGATGGAGGTGCCACAAGGACATGTGGGCTATGTAGGAATCTGTTTATCTGAGGTGAGATAGAAAGTCATGCTTGGATTGGGAAGTGAGACATCCACGTAATCTGACAGCCTGCTGAGAAAGGTCAGTGCAGGCTGCCTGTTGACAGGTAGACTACAGTCAGGACAAATGCCAGTGAGCAAGAGATGATGGGCTCCTATCAGCCAGGGAAAGTGGCTCGTGGGGGAGGTTAGAGGATTTCAGGATAGATGAGAAGGTAGAACCAATGAGGTTGCTGATGGATTCAAGGAGTGGTTTAGGAGGAGAATTAGCAAGAACACCTCCCAAAGGGTGAGGTTAGCAGCTAGGTAAGGTGGAACCATTCTCAGCACGGGAAGACTGAAGGGCAGAGCTGGAATACAGGTGAAAAGAGTTTGAGTTGGGGATATAGAAGCAGAGATGCCTATAGAATAACCACACAGAGATATTCGTGAGGCAGTTGCTTATAGGCAGGACTACGAGATCAGAGAAGTTGCTGTGTGAGATGAGAGACCCCGTACAGTGGTGGACACATAGTGAGATTCTTTAGATCTCCTTTCTCTAGCTGCATTGTGCTGCTGCTTGGCGCAGGTGTGGAGACAGAGGGAAGCTGGGTTTTGCAGAGACTGGACAACTTCCTGAGACTGAGTATAAAAACAGAAAGGCAAGAAGCCTTTGGGGTATCCACCAAGTTCACCGTCCTGAAGGGAACCACGGACTCTGAACTGGCAAAGGAAACAAAGGAGCCAGTGCCCACCCAGGCACTAGTCTGCAAGAACAGGAATATCGATATGTGATTCATATGTATAATGTGAGTTAATCATACATGTGTGTAATTATGTGTATGATAATATAATCATTAAATTGTAACACCATTATAACTAATTATAATTAGTATTAGAACCTAATATGACTATAACCTAATAGGTAGTATAATTATAATAAGTATTATTCTACCCGACATATATGATCATACACATAATTACATGTTGTAATTTTAACCAATTATAATTATATAATTACAACTAATTATAATATAGTTATATATTGTAACAAATTGATAAATTATAATTTATAATATAATTGTTGTAATTATATGTATATACATTGTATATATATGTATATAACTGTAACATATTTCATTATATTAGTGATATATGTATTATGTAATATGTGTATCATATGTAATACATAGTTAATATTTAATAGTAATATATAAGTATTATATAACTACATATATTTTCATAAAACTTACATGTGCCCACAAACATATTATGCAATACATACTATCTAACATATACCATCTCTATTAGTGACATAATAATCTTCTATAACCTGCACACTGCCTGTTTGCCCAAGTGCCATCCCAAGCACACCCTGCTAATGGAGCTCACTGGCAGCTCTCTGCTAGACCATCCTACTGCTAGACCATGCAGCTTCTACATTTGGAAGGCATTGAGAGGAAGGCTGAAAAGAGTGCAGGAGCTTGTTGAGGGTCTCCCAGCTGCTGACAGACAAGCCCATTTGGACCCGCAACTGGCTCAGAACCTTGGAGCCTTGAAAGTTTTCTCTATTTTTTCTAAACCAATCACGATTGAGAAGCTGAGCCAGTGTACCCATTGAAACCTGGACAAGGGAGGTTATGATACATAAAGGTACTAGCATAGACTGGGTTGGTGTCAAGCGGAAAAGAAGGCCACGTGGTCGAGGCTGCGTGTGGGCCTCGGGGCGGCCTGAGGCTCTGGCCTGGGAGCCTCGGTGCAGGCTGCTTCCCTTAGCATCTGTCTCTGTGGCTCTCACCCTGCAGGCTCTGGTTTTGCCAGCTGGGAGCACCCAGTTGCAGGTACATGTCAGGTCTCTCTGTGGAGACAGAGGCCTGGCACACCCTAAATCTGAGGCAAGAACCACCTGGGAGATGGGGAGTCAAGTTCCTGTGTGTGGGAGCCTTGGGTCACCCAGTTTATGGCACTGCAGAGCCTGAAGTAAGTTTTCTTGGCTCCCTCTGAGTGAGTGGATGGAGAGCGATGGGGTGAGCACCCATGCCTGAGTTCCTGATGGGGTTTGAGTGAGGTGTGGACAAGCTCTTTTGCATAGAGGAGCTTCTGGTTTTGTTGGGGGTGTGGGACGGGGAAAGTGGGATGACTGTGAATGTATATGTGTCTGGGGGACCTCAGAGATAGCCCCAGGTTTGATGTTTCAATGGGAGGACTGGGGATTCAGCCCGGAGAGTTATGTTCACGGCTACACTTCATCAGGGTGAGGACACGAGAGCAAATCAGCAAAGAAAGGGACTTGGGGGACAGAGTCCAGAGAGGAAACCAGACATAAGCTCCCAAAGTCCTCTTCCCACGTAGTTACATGTGCAGGATATGACAAGAGCTTCTCTTCAAAATAGCCTGATCAAATCCTTTATTCTTAAATCCACAGTACCTCCTTGCTGTGCTTTTCTTTCTGCCTTTACATGTCCAGGCACCAGCGGCTTCTCAGTGTTAGCTCACATTCCTTTCCTTATTTGGGAAGAAAACTAGCTTTCTAGCTCATCGCCAGAAGACTTCTTCGCCTTCTCCCTTTCTCCCTTACCCAGGCCCATTATCTAAGAGAAAGTTCAAGCGTTTAACTTCAATCAGGTCTAGTTTGGGTTATGCGGTTCGACCCCAGCCAGTGGGGAAAGAACTGAGGTCAAGTTTGCATCAGGGATAAAACTTTCATTTCCTTTATTTCTATGTGCTCTCAGGGCGACTGGCCAAAGAGAAGGATCCCTCTAGGCAGAAGTAAATTTGCTTTGCTGAGAACTCCTTAGTCTGAGTCTCGTTTCCTTAAGACTCCAAACTTTATTTCCAACATCACACAAGACACACAATTCTCCAACCACAACTGTGGCAATCAGCAATACGTAACTTGGTCTGCAGACCCCGGCCTGGAATGAGGTGCTGGATGCTGCCGTTCTCACCTGCTGGTCTGCAGACCCCAGCCTGGAATGAGGTGCTGGATGCCGAAGGAGGTTTCCTCAGAGCTGAGCGCATTCAGCCCAAGGGGGCCTGGCCTGGGTTTCTCTTCTGGTGTTGAGGTTGTTGGGAGACGGGGCAGGTGGCTGCTGTGCCACACCAGGAGTCCTCCCCACCTGGGAGTGAGGTCACACCAGGGACTGGGGCCAGATGGCCGGAGAATGGGCTTGCTAATGGTTGGTCGAGCGTTGTGCCCGCCTCCACCTCAGTATGCAGCTCTGATGAGACACAGAATTGAAGACTGGAGGAGGGGCTGGGGCCCGCGGCGGGCCTCTCCTTCTGAGAGAGAGGAACACGAACATCCACAGGAATAAATGGACGGACGCTGGCATTGAAGCTGGAGTGTCCACAAGGCCTGACGTGGAAGCAGCCCACAGTTATCCGCCAGCGATGGGTGGGTGTGTGGACCACCGTGGCCGCCGTACAGTGGAGTGGGTTCAGCCCGAGAGAGGAGCGGCGCGCCGCAGCACCATGCTGTGTGGAAGAGCCAAACGCAGGACAGATGTGGCCCCTCTCCTGGCAGAGCACACGGCAGCGAGTCCCGAGGGACAGAAAGGAGTTGAGAGGCTGCAGGGCCCGGCCGGGGGAATGCATGGTGACTGTCGTGGGCTCGTGGGCTTTTTGAGGTGGTTGTAAAGTTGATTGTGGCGATGGTTGTGAAACAATATACTAAATATCATTGCATCGTACACTTTACATGGGGGAATGTTGTGGTAGGGGGATCGCATCTCAGTGAAGCTGTTTTAATAAGTGTGGGCCCTGGGGTGTGAGCGCTGGTCCGGCGGTGGGAGGCTGTGCCTCCTCGGGCAGGTTTCTTGTGGCTTCTGCTGGAGGCTTCCCCCGAGAAGCCAGGTGGCTACAGCCCGTGCCTCCTGCAGGTGCGGGGGATTCAGGGAGCCCAGCCCCAAATCTCTACTGTGGAAGGTAGGAGGTTTTTTTGTTTTAAGGCTCGTCGAGTGAAGCCGTTGGCGTGGAGAAGGAACAAAGAGATCCGTAACTGGCGGTTGGTTGTAAACACCGCTGCACTCGGCCGGCAGGACTTTTTTTAAATTGCCCTTATTTGGCTGTGGAAGTTGGCAGCCCTGTGTCTGCCCCATGGAGTTTAGCTGAGCCGCTCCTGGTTTATGAAACCCCAGCGCGTGGAAAGCAGGGAGGGCACGTTTGCCACAGCTCCACCTGGCGGCCCTGCCCTTCCCTGATCTGTGTGAGGGTTCAGGTGCCCGCCGCGCCTGCAGGAGGGTGGGGGAGGGGCTGGGAGGGCTGCCTCAGCCTGTTTCATTTTATTTTTTTATTTTATTTTATTTTAAATTTAATTTTTGAGACAAAGTCTTGCTCTGTCGCCCAGGCTGGAGTGTGATCAGTGGTCACTGCAACCTCTGCCTCCCGGGTTTAAGCAATTCTCCTGCCTTAGCCTCCTGAGTAGCTGGGATTACAGACCCCTGCCACCACGCCCGGCTAATTTTTGTATTTTAGTAGAAATGGGGCTTCACCATGTTGGCCAAGCTGGTCTCGAACTCCCGACCTCCAGTGATCCACCTGCTTTGGTCTCTCAGTGCTGGGATTACAGGTGGGAGCCACCGCAACCAGCCAGGGAGCCTGTTTTAAAAGAGAGATCAGGGTATGAACCTTCAACAACTCGGGCGCGTGGCAAAGGCTCTGCTGTCCGCTTTAGCTGCGTGTGTGCATAGCACAGGTCAGTGGTGTGTGTAGATACCCTCCTGGTACGTGGCACGGGTTGGTGTCATGCATAGAGACCCTCACAGTGTGTGGTATGGGTTCGTGGTGTGTGTAGAGACCCTCCTGGTGCATGGCACGGGTCGGTGGTGTGTGTAGAGACCCTCCTGGTGTGTGGCACAGGTTGGTGGTGTCGTGCGTAGAGACCCTGACAGTGTGTGTGGCATGGGTTGGTGATGTGTGTAGAGACCCTCACAGTGCGTGGCATGGGTTGGTGTCGTGCGTAGAGACCCTGACAGTGCGTGTGGCACGGGTTGGTGGTGTGTGTAGAGACCCTGACGGTGCGTGTGGCACGGGTTGGGAGTGTCACGTGTGGAGACCCTCAGGCACCTGCTGCCCTGTTTCTGATGTGATGGGTGTCTGCCAGGGGTGTGGGACTCCAGTCCCCGTTTGGCACGAGCATCACACATACACTGTCTTGTGCACACTTGACAGTAACATGTTCTCCGTCTTGCCAGTGAGGAAGCTGAGGTGTGGAGGTGGGGTTGTTCACCCTGGGTCCAGCTGGGGAGTGGTGGGGCTGCGATGGGAGCCGGTGGTGGTTGTAGCCCGTGTGGGTCCTGGAGTCCTTCCTGCAGCTGTGTGAGGCCTTGGCCGGCCCCTGCAGTGGGGAGCAGCCAGGCTACCCCTAGGCCAGTTCTTGGTGTCCTGGGGTAGGCGCCGTGTGCCTTGTCTGCCGGGCGCTGTACCTGCCACGCCCGGGTCTGCAGGCCACCTCCCTGCAGGGCCCTCGGTGCAGCCTGGCACCCCATAAACTCGGTCCTTCTGTCTTGTCCCTTCTAACAGGGACCCAGACATGGAGCTGCGGGAAGAAGCCTGGTCTCCGGGGCCGCTGGATTCTGAAGACCAGCAGATGGCGAGTCACGAGAACCCAGGTGAGCGGCCCGAGTCCGTCCCAGCCGGCCCCACCGCCTCCCACCTGACCCTGGCTTCCGGCCCCACCGCCGGGAATGATTAGCAGCCGCCTCCACCAGCCCTGCTTCGGCTTCCCCGCCTCCCACCTGACCTGGCTTCAGCCAGCCTCCACCTGATGCTGGCTGCTTTTGCTTTGGGTGGGAGAGAAACCCCACTTTCCTGTTTTCCCTTCCTGGGGCCCTGGGATGCCTGACTGGCCTCCTCCACCCTGTGGGCTCTGCACTCCTGGCTGTAGGGAGAGGGCTGGGGTTGTGGCTCCCAGTTTCTTTTGCTGGATGATCTTGGGGACCCCAGAGTTACCTTCTCTGCCTGACTTCCTCTGTCACTGCACTTTGCAGCCTTCGGGCACACCCCATCTGTTGAGGGTGCCTGTTGCTCTCCCCACAGTCCATATCATCCTGGATCTCTGCTGTGATTCCAGTGGCCTATGACCCTCCCGATGGAAACTCTTAGACAGGGTGGCACAGGGAATGGCAGGGAAACCCACAGGCTGGCCTTTGACTCTGAGGAAAGCTGTCCAGTTTGGGTTTTTATGTGAAATCCTTCTCTTTGGACTTGACAACGTATTACGTTTGTTTAATATAAAACATTATTGGGGAATTCGAGCAAACTCATTTGTGGGCTACGTGGGGCCTGGGTTTGGTTGCAGAGGCCCCATGGTGACCCACAGCTGACACCTCACAGCCTCCCTCCCCTCTGGAGGCTGCGTGCCTGCTGCTCCCCTGAACCTGAGGAATAAGGGGGCGCGGCTTCTCTCATTGCTGTGTCCTGTATACCCAGGCCAGGTCAGGCCCCCGCCTGGCCCCACGCTGGCCGGGCTCAGCAGACCTTTTCTGCAGAGGGCCAGAGGGGAAATGCATGCATCTTGCAGGCTGCAGAGCACTCACGGGTCCACAGAGCCACAGTCCACAGGGAATGCATGAGAGGCGCGGTGAGGCTCGGTGCGAAATGTGGCAGAGCTGCGCCAGCCCAGGCCAGCGTGGCAGTCGTCCCAGAAAAGGAGCGGGATGAAGTGTGGGATCGATTTGAGTGGCACCTCAGCCCTTTTTCAGTGATTTTGCGAGATCCGTGGATGGAGTGAGCAGAAGCTCCTCTCGTGGGGCCAAGCAGCCCTGGTTCCGGGGAGAAACTGGGATGGGGGGTTTTGAGTGTATGTTGGCAGGACAGGCCGAATGCAGGGGCACACACACACCAACTTTGGCTACCCGCGCCCTCAGTGGGTGAGCACCGTCTGCACCTCAGTGGGTGGGCGCGCAACCCGCCGCCACAACTGGGGCCCTGCCCCTGCTTCCTCCTACTTGCTCCCGCCCTAGACCCTTTGAACCTTTTGAAAATTCTGTGGAAATCTCGAGTGTGTGGACGTAGTGCAGTGAGTCCCTCTTCCTGTGCCAGCGAAGGAGCTGCAGTCCCTTTCTACCCACTGTATTCTTTCCACAGTGTCATAGAAATGTCTAAAATGCGTCATTGTGTCTATAAATTCTCCCTCAGCATGTAAGGACTCCTTAAAAAAACAAACCCATGGGAAGCTGATCCTCACCTAACAACATATCATTTTTGAGACATCGTCTAATCTAGCCCCCAGTCCATGTTCAGTAAGCGCATGGTCTCTTCCAGAATGCTGCGTCTTTGAGTAAGTTCATCTTTAATTTTACAAGTCTAAGCCAAACTCCCACCTCTCTTTGTAGAAAGTAGGTCTGAGGTCCCCTTGTCAGCCGCTGCCCATCCGCGCTGGCCCTGTGTTTGTAGGAGGCTGCTTCCCACTGCAGGCAGCGCTACCTCAAGGAGGAGCCTGCTTGGTGCACCGTCTCTGGAGCATCACACCCGATGTGGCGCCTGGCTCATCGAGGATGGGCTGCTGCGGCTCCCAAGTTCTGGCGTCCGGGCCCAACTCCGGTGTGGGGGTCCGCCTACCACGTGTCCCTGCTCACGATCTTTGACAGTGACAGACATTGCGAAAGAATGGCGAGGGATTGGCCTGGCCTGAGTGTGCCCAGCTGGGCCACTTTCATATCTGGCACTCTTGCTGCGGGGATAGCAGGAGGCCCCGCTGGGCCATCTGGGAGGAATCGCCTGGAAGGCAGGAGCGTGCCGGCAGGCAGAGAGAGAAGAACCAGCAGGGCTTCCAGCCCCACCTGGCCCCAGCTCTCTTTCTGCGGAATCAGTGTCCAGGCCCTCAGCACACCACGCTGGGAGTCCTCGGACAGGGGCGGAGCGCCCGGCGCAACTTTGACTGTCTTACATGTGAGGAGTGGCTAGAGGTTGAGAAGAGGCAGAGAACCAGCGGCAGGAGCGTCCAGCGTGGTTGCCCCACGCGACCCCAACCCTGCAGTGCTGGCGCGTGGGACGGGCATCCGTGTCCTGTGGAGACACGGCTGGTTGGAGTGCCCAGAGAGGGGGTTGCCACCCGGGCCGGGCTGCAGGCCTTGAGGTGAGCCGTGTGGATCCTTCCTCAGCTCTCCTGACTTGGGTGTCCGGCACCTGCTCTGGGAATCATCCTTCTCCCCACTGTGACCCCAGCCCTGTGGCCTCACACAGTCCACAGCGCGGCTCCCACGACCTCTACCATCTACCCTTGTCCCCTCCTGAGCCTCTTGGGGGAGGAGCGTCAGTGCCATGCTCAGAACCCTGTAGTGTCATTGGCTCGATGGGACTTCCGAGGCGTCACCGCCTGCTCAGTTCTGCATGCCGCCAGCCGTCTGCCTCCAGCTGGTCTGGAGCCTGGCGCGGCCCCGACCACGGCCCCCAGCCGGCGTGGCCCTGCGTGACTACTTTCTCTCTGTTCTTGAGACAGAATACTCGTCTGTCACCCAGGCTGGAGTGCAGTGGCGTGATCTCGGCTCACTGCAACCTCCTCCCTTGGTTAAGTGATTCGCCTGCCTCAGCCTCCCGGTAGCTGGGATTGCCAGGCACCCGCCACCATGCCTGCCTAATTTTTGTATTTTTAGTAGAGACGGGTTTTACCGTTGCCCAGCTGGTCTGAACTCCTGACCTTAGGTGATCTGCCTGCCTCGGCCTCCCAGTGCTGGGATTACAGGCGTGAGCCACACAGCACGCGACTCCCCTTTCTGTCCCAGCTCGCCGCTCTCTGCTCCCAGCAAGGATGCCGTCTGCAGCAGAAGTGTCCCCATGGCTCCCCTCCTGTGTGCCACATCAGCCGCTTTCTGGAGATGCTCACACCAAGTGCGCCGGCAGCTCAGGAGTACAGACTGTTTAACCAGAGGTCTGTCTCGGGAGGCCCAGGCGAGCTTCGTTCAGGAGAAGGGGCTTTGGGCTGCATTGCAGGGGATGTGGTGAGTGTGGCTCTCCCAGAGGCCCTGGGGAAGCCCGCGGGGCGCGAGGACACTCTCAGCTGCTGTTAACAGAACCAGGCTGGCACTGGCGTAGCCAGAAGGACTCGATATGTTCTCCAGGCAGCTGGCCTGCCAGGCCAGACAGATCCAGGGCGGCCTGTCTCCTGGGAGCGCATCTGGGCTCAGGGCCCCAGGCCCCTCCCTGTGATATCCTGGCCACAGCAAGGCAGTGCCTCAACCCAGGCGGTGGAGTCCCCAGGCTCCGGCAGTGTCCTGCTGTGCCTCTTTCTCTCCTAGCATCCCATGTTGCAGGCTCCATCACCCTCGGCCGTATCACCCAGGCTCCATCACCCTGGCATGGGGTTGCCGTCCTTAGGCCTCTCCTCCTGAGGAGTGTGAGAGGAGGTGGGTTCTGAGCGAAGCTCCCAGGCAGGCCTCCTCACTGGCCAGGGCAGGTGGTCCCCGACCCACAGGAATCCCAGGCAGCCCACACTTGCGACCTTCTTGTGAGGAGGGAAAGAGGGGTGGACTCTGGGTAGCCCCAGAGTCCCCTGTTCAGAGGTGTCCCTGTGGAGGCAGGTGGTTGGAAAGCTTCTGTGTGGCTGTTGGGAGAGCAGCGTGCCTGGAACCCCTGGCCCGTGTTCCTTCCATGTGGAGCTGTTTGGGCCCGGGGCTCCTTCCACGAGCCCATGGCTGCCTCCAGTGTCCCACAGAGCCTGGGTCAGGGGTAGGGCCTCGGGTGCTGACGGGGTGCCCTTGCTGGGCTCAACGCTGGCTTCAGCATGAGGTTGAACAGAAGTCTCCACGCCCTTCTCCCCCCAAACCTCGAAATTCCAAAGGTTTGAACCTCCTACACATCTCTTACTGGAGGTCACTCCAGTAGTTGCACCCCTGCTGATGACAGAAAGCCCGAGAAGGCATGGCATGAGGTGCTGTGTCCCTAGGACAGGTGGCTGTCCCGGGGACTCGGCTTCCTCCGATAAACTGGCTCTGCAGTGCACTTTGCAGTCGGGCCGGAATTAGTTTACCTCGCTCGTGCTGCCTATATGAGGAACACAGCCAGATAAAAACATACGAATTTATGGGGGGACCAAAGTAGTTCACAGGATAGTTCTTCCTGTACCTTGTACGTCACGGTGTTTCTCCCTCCTGCCTCCCATTCTGTTTCATTTACATGCTGGCCGCCGTCCGCAGTCATCCGACTGCCTGCTGGGCTGAGGCCTGCAGTGGGAGGGCGTGGCCTGTGGTTGGGTGCGAAGTCCATGGCACGGCGTTTCCCATGTGGCGTGTTGAGAAGGCTGCATGTGGGGATTGGAAAAACCTAGCCAGTGTTCTTTCTGGTTAGATAGATTGACAGGGGAGCATTTTGGAAACCTTAGAAATTTTGTGATTTTTGTGCATTGGATATTTCTGGGTGTGTGTTCAGATCCTCTGAAGCTAATACTGGCCAGGAATAATGACCAGTGCCGTATTCGGCGTCTGGGTGTCCACAGTCAGCCAGTGCCGTGTTCGTAATCATCTGGTGCCGCCAGTCAGCCAGTGCCGTGTCTTCGTAATCATGTCCTGGAGTGCCTGATCAGCCAGTGCCGTATTAAGTAATCATGTCCTGGGTGCCGCAGTCAGCCAGTGCTTCATATTAAGCGTAATCATGTCCCTGGGTGCCGCGGTCA